TAACTAAGTAACGTAACGTAAGTTAACGTACTACTACGTTACTTAACTACTATACTACTACTACTACTACTACTAGTATATATATATAGTATAGTACTACTAATATAATAACTACTCTCTCTCTCTCTCTCTCTCTCTCTCTCTCTCTCTCATATATATATATATATATATATATATATATATATATGGTAAAGCCTTAGTGAATCAACCCATGGGTTTCCTTTCATTTCTCTACTACTGTTTGTTTCTTTATTTCATCTCTCTGTCTCTCTTCAATTCTTAAAATTACCCCAAAAGGCTATCCTCTTAATCCTAATTGGAGTGTCAAACAATATTTTAGTGCATTTCAAGTAATTTACATAAAAATTTACAACTCTAGGGAAACTAAACACTATAAGCATTATTTCTTTAATAGCAAGTTGAGAGAGCCTAATGGTTATTTTTCTCAAAAACTTAGGATGTTCCATGAGAGAGAGAGAGAGAGAAAGACTAAGAGATAGCATAGCAAATCTCTCTCTCTCCCTCTCTCTCTCTCTTTATATATTTTATATATATATAATATATAATATATATATGGGAAAAGCAGAGATTAGCCCACTAGCTAATGCTACAGTACCAGCCCAACGGCTTAGATTGTATCTAGGCCGATCCAATGGTCACGACGCAATTCATATTTGAATTTTAATTTTTTTCTACAAATCCAAATCACTTAAAATTTTGAGCGTTTGTTCTTTAAAAAAACAAGAATCTAATAAAAATATCCAAAAAATAAGTTACAAGAAAAATTGACCAAAATACCTTTGCAAGGGTATTTTGGTCGATTTATATTTGATGAATAATTTGTTTAATATTTTTATTTAGTGCGCCTTGATGAGAAGGATTGATGCCTAAAATTTCATGTGATTTGGAATTATAAGAAAATATTAAAATTACCTTATGAAATGAGGTCGTGACCGTCAGATCAGCTCAAATTCAATCTGGGCCATTGGGCTAACGCCGTAATTGTTAGCTAGTGGGCTAACCTCAGCTTTTCCCTATATAAATAGGTTACAAAAAACAAATTGACCAAAATACCTACAAAACTTTTCAGGGGTATTTTGGTCAATTTATATTTGATGAATTATTTGTTTAATATTTTTATTAGGTACGTCTTGATGAGAAGAAAATTTCATGTGATTTGGAATTATAAAAGAATATTAAATTATCTTACGAAATGAGGTCGTGACCGTCAGATCGGATAACGTTGTAACTGTTAGCTAGTTTGCTCCCACTATGGAGTATTTTATAATTGTACTCAACAAATTTTAGACACTTCTATACTTGTTTTGTACATGGAGCATTTTTTTAATAAGGGTATTTTTGGTCATTATGAGGGGTGTGACATCATCTACATGGGTGTGACATCACACTAATGGCATTTAATGCTCCATGTGGGTGATGTCACACCCCAAGTAGATGATGTCATACCCCTCCTAATGACCAAAATTATCTTAACTAAAAGAAAACTCCAAGTACAACACAAGCCCAAAATTTATTAAGTACAATGTTAAATTACTTTTCATAGTGTGAGCACCCTAAGATAACCTATATATATATATATATATATATATATATATATATA